TTACAAAGTCTTTTATGAAAGTCTGAGGATAAACCCCTTTTCAACTCAGACTCATCTCAGTTGATCTGGACTTGACCAACTTGTGCATAGATTCTCCCATCCACTTGGTCAAACCTTCTTCAAACTGAACCCTACTCGACCCTTAACCGCCTAAAGCCCCAGGTCCACTTAACCCGCTAACTCCAATCAACGAAAAACCAGTGGCGAAAAACAGTCAGCCATAAATTTATCAGCGAAACATGAAACGTGCGAGTGGAGAAAAAAAATATACTCAGATGCAGATACAGATACGTTTGTTCAGTTTGAGATACTCTGATAGCGATACCCAAAACAGATACAGATACGGATCCAGATAAAGATACATGCAAAAGCAATCAGTGTATTGACCACAACGATTTTTGACATGTTACGCATACAAATTAGAGCAGACTGCCCCTTCATTTTTCCCCATCTTTTTCTGATTTTTTTTCTCTTTGGCTCATTTGAAAGCGAAGAAGCAAAAAGCAATCCCCAATAAAGAAGCCAACAAAAGGCAAAAAAGGAGAGCCGAAAGCAGAAATCGACAAACAGAAGCCAAAGAAAAGTTGAAGCAGTTAAAGAAAGAATTATATATATAAATAAAAACAGCATGGGCAAAAAAACACGAATGGAAAAAGTGCTGAAAGGGGGAGAATAAGTAACGCAAAGTCCGAAAAAATAAACATACAAAAGAACCCACGACTTATACGATCGAAAATGCTCTTCAAAAGGCAGTAGTACAAAATACAGAATAAAGTTAAAAAACTGACAAATTTTAAGTAATTTCTTTCATAAAATGTATTTATATTTTTATTTTGTAAAGAATATATATTGACAAATTTTAAACAAAGCACTTTTTCGGCTCCCAAATGTAGAATTGTACGTTTTTTATTCTATTTTTTTATTGTATTCCTTTATTTTAGATATTTTTTTAAATCACAGGTAACTAAATTCTAAATAATATAAGATGAATTTTATCTGAGTAATACTTCCCTATAATCAAGAAATCCGAAGAGAAATTCAGCGGAGCAGAGCAAAAACTATTGGCCATCAAGTACCCACAACACAATCAATGCTAATGATCCAAAATGTCTTCAAGACGAATTCCACCGAATCCAATTCCAGTAGCCAACGCAATTAGCCAAAGGTGAGAAAGGTGAGGGGATTTTCAGGTGAGGCTTGGCCAGTAATTCAGGCGTGACAATCGCTGCTGAGTTGGTCAAGAAATGCCATCACGTCAAGCGCGACCCCCTGGCGTTTTTCCAGCGAGTTCGATTGTCCACAACGCATTTGGAATGCAAAAAAAATATTTTTAAATACGGCACAGAACGTACAGAATATATGGCGAGTTAATTAAAATTCAAAAGCTGTTGAGTCAGTAGCTTCTAGACAGCTTTAGCAAACCTGCAGCAGTTGGAATGCAAATACAGTTACAACAATCAGGAGATTAATCAACATTTATTGATATTCAAAAGCAATTTTCTATCAACGATTCATGCAAATATTTACAAAAATTAATGTTTCACATACACTGAATCGTCAAAGCGAAGAAATTAATTGGCTTGGTGTCACAAAAACTATAAAAATAATAAAATAATATAATAAAAACGGAAAGCAAAACCCCCACCAAAACTTTAGAAAAATATTTATTTTCTGCAAATGTTCGCGAAAATTTTTCTGTAACTAAATCCAATGACGAGGTCGTTTGGGGGTTAAACAAAAAAAGCGCTAGCTTCGTCATCAGTCAGCAAATATTATTGAATTTTTATTTATTATTTTATTGTGTTCGACACGCGCTATCTGTGTGAGCACCATCATTTAAATGTTGAGGAACTCTGGCTGCATTTTGGATGTGTGTGGAAGTTGTTTAAACAGCTGCGAGCTTAAATCCGCCACCCACCTCAAAAAAAAAAATTAAAGTGCATTACATAACTACAAATATACGAACCGAGAGATATAAATTCTCCGCATGCGAGTATAAATTCCATATGCCAAAGCATCAAAACAAAAATGAGTACTGCTTTTTTGTTAGTTTTACTCTACCAAAATAAAACTTTGAGGGATTTTGCGGAGCTGCAGTTGTTAGATAGATATTTTGGTGAACATACGCTAAATTTTGGAACAATTTAAAGTCTTTCCAGCAAGGGATGAAGATAGATATATTAGTTCATATCTTATGTACTTTATATCAGTTCTTGATTTATATTCCGTATGCGACAGAATTGATTTCAAAACTGTGTATATTTTATTTCTTATTTTCGATAGCAGCTTACAGTTTTATTGTCTACAAACTTTACAGACCCTTTCAAAACCATTGTCACTGCTTTTAGAATATATGCTCAATAAATGCTGGCAAGCATTGACATTTTCATTTATTTTAACTCATACCATTGCTTATCAATATTTCCACAACAGACACTGAACTTCTACCATACTAAACTAATTTATTGTATCAAAATCACCTTTGAATCCAGTGCCTCTGGCCATCTCTTTTCCACTTTTCCATGCAATCCAACTTTGATTTTGCAAATGCAAATTGTGAATATATAAATTTTCCTCTGCAGGAAAAGCGCTTCCATTTTTACTGCATCTGTTGCTAAGCTCCATCTCTTTCAGCTCCACTCTACCTGACTCTTTTTGCACCCCCTTTCCCCCTCTTCCAGCTCTTTCACTCTTTTTTGGGGCAACACACTTCCGCACACGTCGCTGAATTTTGCACGTAAAAAATGTTTGAAACAAACAAAATATTTGTTTAATTTATTTTAATTTCAAAGTTGCAGCAGTTGCAGATATTTTTGGATAGCGGAAAGGGGGCAAAGTGTGTGTGTGGAAAAGGATACGGCGTAGGGGAAAAACCAACTACAATAACAACTCTGGAAAAGTGAGAAAAACTAAGCCACAATCATAATTCACGCGCTGAAAACACCAACAGAAAAGCAGGAAAATGGAGAGGAACAAGAAGTTTTTGAAGCCAGGCACTTGGAAAAGCCAGGAAATGAAATGAATGTAAAAAAAACTCAAAGGGAAAACGGTGTGGAAAAAGGGAAAAGGGCGACAGTTAGCAGGTAGACAGACGAAAATAAAAACCAAAGGCAAAGGAAATAAACATAAAAACCCCAGAAAACGTACACAAATTGTTGCAAAGAACCTTTCGAGCACTTCTTAAGCAAAATCCTGCCCTTCTTCATAAGCATCGGATTGCACACACACTGAATTTTCCGAGGAAAACTCAACCAAATTGGAAGGCACTTTAAGGATCAACAGGAAAAATATCGAGAAAATGAATGCCTCGGCGGAGAAAAATAAAATCACAAGTGCTGCCTAAAAATATAGAAATAAAATGGGGCTTGGAAAATGCGGTTTATATATCGTATTATTTAATTAGTTTAGGATTCCTTGAAAAATATTTAATGTGGTTTTTAAAAGCATAAGTGTGTTTTGCACACAAAACATATAAACTAATATTTCGTCTAATTTGGCATTACCTCCCAATTATTCATCTTAAGCCGCAAAAGTTCTTCAATTTTCCCATTCCTCGTTGCTAATATTTTAATGTCTTTTTAATGCCAGTGCCAGCATTTAACCCCTCACCCCTGGAAGTATTCCCTCTCGGCCGCTGTCATCAAATCTACTAATGCCCCCGAGTCGAGCAATTCCCCAGAAGCTTGAGGCCAAAAAACCTCCGCAGAGAGTTCATTGATTTCTGATTCTGGCGACTTTTTGAGTCGAGAACTCAACTTTTACGAGTAGTTCCTATAAACGCGTAAAAGAACGCGTGTCAAAGGCCCAATTAAGATGTCAAATCAACACGTTTTATTTATTAAATGATTACGCACACAAAACACAAACAGAAAATGCGCGAAGCACCATAAAGTTAATGGTGCAATATATCTTTTGAGGGGGGAAAACTCAGAGGAACTACCCCCAACTAATCACAGACAAATTAATAAAGGTTGCTCCCCTTTTGGAGTTCCCTTGACCGAATTGCCCGATTGAGTGGATATAATTCACATTTAAATTTAGACCCAGCCCCAGTTCTTTAAGTATTAAAAAGCATTTTGTAAGCAAAGTATTATATGTGAGAGGGGAAAAACTTTGTTGAAGCGTGCCAAACCAAAGTTTTCTTATATCCTACAATGTCTCCCTGCTTTCCACCTTCTATTGTGCCACTTTTCTTCGCGACAGTGAATATGCTCCTATAATACACAAGTATATCTTGATTTTTAAATATTCTTGTAACTAATTGGATATCACTATTTTGAAATTTTTATATATTTGTGAAGTAAAAGAGGAATATAATTAAACAGTAAATAAATAAATAATCCTCTTTTGTCCCAGTTCGATTTATGGAATAGTGACTGTACTTTAAGTTGAGATTCAATATCGGGGCTCTTGCTCACAGTAAATGCTGCCAATTGACAGGAGCCAAAGTGAGTGAAACAATGAGGGGGGTGTGGAAAATCGGGTGGAAAATTGGGGAGGCTTGAGTATCAGATAAAAAAGTTTATGCTGACGTCAAGCTGCAACAACAAAGATCAACAAAAAACTAAAGTGACGTCGCAAGGTGACAACAGCAAAAGCGACAAGGAAAAAACGGGGGTAAAGTGCTAAGGGAAAACGGGGAGCTGTCATAAACAGGGGAAGTCAAAGGAGGAGCCGAAAGTTTTAATTGATTTCTTATATGCGTGTGCCAAAAATAAAAAAACGAACAAGGATAAGATTAAACATTTTGTGGATAGGATATTGCCAAAAAATGGGGTATAGAATTGGCGTTTCTTATAAACAAAAACAATTTAATCTCTGGTTCATGGTTCATGGAATAAAACGAAAACAAATATTTAATCATAAAGAAATATCAATAAATTATGTCTATAAATTTGTTGTTCTTTTCTGAAATCAAATTCTAGTATAATACCATTAATTTCAGAAGTACGTGGTATAATCAGTGGTAAAAAAAACACAACAAAGTAAATTGAACTCACCGATAAGAAATAAGTGCCAAATATTTAGCGCCGCTCTCCTCGCACACCTGCTTTCGACTATTGCCGTCTCCGTCATGGCCGTTTTTCGCCTCATATTGTCACTTCGTTTATGTTTTATCTGCTAGTTTTCCTCGTTTTTTTGGGGGCGCTATAGCTACTTCCGACTTTCGTTAGCAAAAATATGTTTCTTCCAATGGTAACTGCTTCTTGTAGCTTCTTCTAGCTGCTGCAGTTGTTGTTGTTGCAACGCTCCATTGCGTTGGTAAATGTTTTTTTATTTATATTATAATATTTGTTATTTATTGCACATGAGATTTTGAATGGGATTTAAAAACGAAGAAGAACAACTGAAAAAAGTTAAGAATATGATAGTTGATTAGAACTTAATTTGAAAATCTAGAGCGCTTTATTGTTTTTTTGCATTTTAATGTTTGGTGATTTGTTGTTATGATCTTAAATATGTTTTTTTATTGTATACTGTTTCTTAGGGGTTTGCAAATAAGTTAATATTTTAGTATCCTTGGGAGACTTTAGAGAGTAAAATTTTGTGGTATTTAGGACGTTGTTTTATTTGGCACTGTTTGCTTGGGGCTTATAAAAGACTTATGCCAAGATCTTTAATGTTTTCCTTGGCTGTGAAGATTTTCCCTTCATTATTTATTATATTTTTAGTGTTTGTTTTAAGCATTTATCACATTAAATTAGGGTAAGAATTTTAAGAACTTTTAACAATTCTTGTTTATATCTTTCAATTCCTCTTTGTCACTTTATCCTTATCTTTGCTTCACCTTTTCTACCTCTCCTTTTTTTCACAGTTGTAATTGCAATTACACTTCACACTATTTCGTAGTTGTTTTACTTCAGAGTTACAACATGTTTTTATTGTTGTTGTATTTTTGAGCAGGTAAGAAAATCACTTAAAAGGTTTCCAAGAAACCTACACTAAGACACGTTAACACACACAGACACAGTGGAAGGGGCAAACCTGTTTTCCAGGTAAATAGGTAAAGGTGTGCGAGTGCGAGCTGGACAGAGCGATCGCAAGAGATCGCGGAGATGGAGAACGAGAGAGACAGAGACAGAGATGACGCAGATGCTGTGTTTTTTCTTATTTCTTTCAGCTTATCTTGGTTTTTTTATTTAAGATTTTACTGTTATTTGTTTAAGATAACTTTTTATTTAACATATTTTTGTGTTTGTTTCTTGAATTCTATGCCTTTGAAAGCTTACTTGTATATGTCAATATAAAACACTCACTTTGCACCTTAAAATGGGTTTAATTTTATTTTATACCTTAAACTTAGTATTTTCTATTTATTTTGTAGCAATATTTTAGAGTTGTTGTGGTTGTTGTTGCTTGCACACACGCGAAAATCGGAGGAAAACGCGGAAAACTCAGCGACGACGCGCACTCAATTTGTTTCCAAGCGTTCGATTCGAAAATGGAAAACACACAGAGAAAGAGAAATGAAATTTCAAGCCACAAGCCACGCGGTTCGACGTGGACGTTCGATTCGAACATGTATGAAGACAGCGAAAGCGGTTAACAGCGATGTTAGCCTGGGCTTAAGCCGCAATCAACCGGTTAACAGTGGTTTGTATGGAGCTAGCATGTGCGAGCGCAGCCATTTATCGGTTAACAGAGGTTCGAACGGGCTTGATGTTCGAATGCCGTTGCACAAGAAATACACTCTTTTTTGTAGAGCGCTCTCTTATAAAATTCTCTTTACCCTTAACAGATCACGTTTTGTTTGTCAAAATTCTTCTTAACTAAAAACGATAAAGAAATGGTCACAATAAACATATAACTAAATTAATAAAATAATCATAACTAGCTTTTGCGAAATCTTTTCCATAATTTTTGAAAAATAATGTTTGGTATAGATAACTATTCCTCTTGATCCTGATCTTGATCAGGAATATATACATATATGAACTTCTGTCCGATATCTGGATCAAACTTTCCCAAAAGTCTTATTTCTTTTCCAGGAACAATCGGAAAAATAAATATGAAAAAATTACAACGTTGTTGTTTTTAAACATTTAATTCATTTCATTAAATCGAATGACTAAATCATAAGAAGAAATTTACAACTGATATCAAAATGCAGCGAAAATATAGTTTAATAGCATTTGGCACAATAATACAAAATTTAAAATACAATTGTAAAGTTTTTTCTATAAGCTACAAAATTTAAATAATAATAAATAATGTACAAATGTTTCTTAAATCCAATGAAGATTAACAATTTTATCTTTCAGATTGCATACTTTTATTTACGTTAAGTCAAATGTCTTATAATTTGACATTCCGTTAACAGCGCTAAAGAGAAAAGGAAAATAAGAGAGCCCATTTGGCTGTGTCTCAGTGTCGACTTCGAAAAAGAGAAAATAATGTTAACAGTTGTTTGTTTGAAAACAGCAATAACATATTTATTAAATATTATTAAAATAAACCTAGCAAACTGTAATCGAATTATTATAAAAAGTATAATTAAAGGATTATTTTAAATGATTTTTTTGGTTTAATAAATAAAATCCATATAAATGGGATAAAGTTGTCCATAAGCAGTGCTTGCCTATAGCAACATGTTGCACTTTTCAAGACTTTTTGTGCCGATTTTTTTTTCAAACGAAAAACTCGTTTTTATGGCTAACAAGAAAATCCAGTCGGAAAAATTGTTCAAGAAAAATAAGAAAAACTAGCAACAAGTTGAGTGCAAAAGAGACGAGGATGGAACCAAGGAGCGAAAGAGAACGAGATAGTGGACATGCAACAAGTTTGAATTCAAGAAAACTTCGTTAAGTTCACTTAAATCACCATCTCTTTCGCACCCCCTGACGATCGCTGTTAACGATCTACTTTTAACCAGTTTTTTTTTCAAGAAAAATATGAAAGAGAAACAAGATGTGCTACACAGAGAAAAAAAAATATATAATTGTATTGTAAAAAATGTGTTTTAAGCATACATTTTGTTTACCTTTTAAAATCTTTTTTTTTACTTAATAAAGTTAAAATCTTTAAGGAAATTAAAAAAAAAAAATCATAATAACATAATCAAAAAAGAATATAAAATACAAATTATAATATAAACTGGTTTTAAGCTAATTTTATGCGAGACAAGGTTTTCAACTACTGGTTTCAAAACTAAAAATACTTACCTAAATTGTAATATTTTATTTAAAAATTAAAAACAGTATTTTAGAGCTCAGATGAAAATATATAGTGCATACATACATTCATACACTGAATTAAAGTTTTGTTTGTGGCGAGGTTCAAGTTTTCGTTGCAAGATCTTTTTCACCTTTGCTAAGCCTGCTGTTTCTTCTCTTCTCCTTTTCTTCTTCTCCTCTTTCCTCTTCCTGTCCTCCCCCTCTCCAAGAGCAAACTCGTTTTCCTTCACTAAAACACGTTATTTTCAAGACTAAAACCTGGTCGGTATGAAACTTTTCAGCATAAACCTTTTCTTAGACTTTTATTTTTAACCACACCCAAGAGACTTACATTCATTCAAATAAATGTTAAATGCTGCAGCTTAAAAGTTCCATACAAAAACATTGTAATTTAAATAAATTACTTCTAAATATTAACAACGTGCCTAAACTTTTTTGTAAAGTAAAAGTCATTGACATTTTTAAATCCTTTACTTGAGTTCCTTCTAACTTAAAATTGTTTAACAGGTACCGAACTTATATTCAAATGGTTTTATTTGTTTAAAGGCATTATACATGTTCTTGAAATAAAAACTTTTTAAAATTTGATTTGAATTTTGATTTTTTTAACAACTCACTTTATCTAATAACTACACAGTATTGTCTAAAAACAGCTATGGAAAACTACAAAATATGTATATTGTCACGAATGATTGATATTTTCCGTCTTATTTTATGCTGCGCTAAGAGTTCTGAATTATTGAAGTGCCCCCACACTTTCAATATTTTTCTGTTAAGAGTCAGCCCACGCACTTTGCATAATGAATGCATAAAATTTACCAGCAACCCAAGAATGGTAAATAATTTTAAAACAGATTTTCTGCTCGTTCTGCCTCTTCATCGTGTTCCTCAATGTTTATTGAATTTTTGATTTAGGCCTTGAGGCGATTTCTACTTATAATAAAACTCAGGACATGTCTCGCTACTAAAGACGCATACAAATGACCTCTGGGATGACTGGCCCCCATTTCCCCCAGGTGAACAGCCGCCCAGACACGCCCCTTGCCACCGACTGCCCATTTTCCTCACTTAAAATACTCGCGAAATCCAGCCTAATTACCGTATCCCTTGGTTATTGCTGTATTTTCTTAATTTCCTTAAATTTTCAGTTTTGTAGTAAATATCTGAATATTAATCAAAAAAGGAAGCAGAAAAACGAGCATGAGCGAAAACTTATTGAGAAAACTAACTTGAAAAACTTGGACCTTTACAAACAAAAACGCTTTTACTATTTCTTAAAATTTAATTTACCTTTTTCCCGATTAATCCTATGAAAATGGGTTAAAAATTCGATCAATGATAAATTGAAAATTTTGAATGCAGACTTTTAGAGAATCGAATCACGAGTCTTTAGAGGTATGCCACTTTGGAATCGGATTAAATTTGGTAAAGTTATGGACTCCCGACGTCGAATTTTAAGTCACTGTATTACAAGACTTCGGAAAACGAGAAATAACTAACATGAAAATGGGTTAAAAATTCGATCAATGATAAATTGAAAATTTTGAATGCAGATTTTTAGAGAATCGAATCACGAGTCTTTAGAGGTATGCCACTTTGGAATCGGACTAAATTTGGTAAAGTTATGGACTCTCGAAGTCGAATTTTAAGTCACTGTATTACAAGACTTCGGAAAACGAGAAATAACTAACATGAAAATGGGTTAAAAATTCGATCAACGTTAAATTGAAAATTTTGAATACAGATTTTTAGAGAATCGAATCACGAGTCTTTAGAGGTATGCCACTTTGGAATCGGATTAAATTTGGTAAAGTTATGGACTCTCGAAGTCGAATTTTAAGTCACTGTATTACAAGACTTCGGAAAACGAGAAATAACTAACATGAAAATAGGTTAAAAATTCGATCAACGTTAAATTGAAAATTTTGAATGCAGATTTTTAGAGAATCGAATCACAAGTCTTTAGAGGTATGTCACTTTGGAATCGGATTAAATTTGGTAAAGTTATTGACTCTTGAAGTCGAATTTTAAGTCACTGTATTACAAGACTTCGGAAAACGAGAAATAACTAACATGAAAATGGGTTAAAAATTCGATCAACGTTAAATTGCAAATTTTGAATGCAGATTTTTAGAGAATCGAATCGCGAGTCTTTAGAGGTATGCCACTTTGGAATCGGATTAAATTTGGTAAAGTTATGGACTCTCGAAGTCGAATTTTAAGTCACTGTATTACAAGACTTTGGAAAACGAGAAATAACTAACATGAAAATGGGTTAAAAATTCGATCAACGATAAATTAAAAATTTTGAATGCAGATTTTTAGAGAATCGAATGACAAGTCTTTAGAGGTATGCCAATTTGGAATCGGATTAAATTTGGTAAAGTTATGGACTCTCGAAGTCGAATTTTAAGTCACTGTATTATAAGACTTCGGAAAACGAGAAATAACTAACATGAAAATGGGTTAAAAATTCGATCAACGTTAAATTGAAAATTTTGAATACAGATTTTTAGAGAATCGAATCACGAGTCTTTAGAGGTATGCCACTTTGGAATCGGATTAAATTTGGTAAAGTTATGGACTCTCGAAGTCGAATTTTAAGTCACTGTATTACAAGACTTCGGAAAACGAGAAATAACTAACATGAAAATAGGTTAAAAATTCGATCAACGTTAAATTGAAAATTTTGAATGCAGATTTTTAGAGAATCGAATCACAAGTCTTTAGAGGTATGTCACTTTGGAATCGGATTAAATTTGGTAAAGTTATGGACTCTCGAAGTCGAATTTTAAGTCACTGTATTACAAGACTTCGGAAAACGAGAAATAACTAACATGAAAATGGGTTAAAAATTCGATCAACGTTAAATTGCAAATTTTGAATGCAGATTTTTAGAGAATCGAATCACGAGTCTTTAGAGGTATGCCACTTTGGAATCGGATTAAATTTGGTAAAGTTATGGACTCTCGAAGTCGAATTTTAAGTCACTGTATTACAAGACTTCGGAAAACGAGAAATAACTAACATGAAAATGGGTTAAAAATTTCATCATTGATAAATTGAAAATTTTGAATGCAGATTTTTAGAGAATCGAATCACGAGTCTTTAGAGGTATGCCACTTTGGAATCGGATTAAATTTGGTGAAGTTATGGACTCTCGAAGTCGAATTTTAAGTCACTGTATTACAAGACTTCGGAAATCGATAAATAACTAACATGAAAATGGGTTAAAAATTTCATCAATGATAAATTGAAAATTTTGAATGCAG